GTATATGGTAATGAACAACAAGGACTGAAAATGACTGTCAGGTAATGAGGTTAATTTGAATGAGACTACTGTGGCAAAGACCTTGGTGGAAATAGTCCTGGAAATTAGTAATGAACTGTGGATTTTGTACTGTGACAATGGCTTGATAAGTCAGTCCTAACTAAATGTTCCAGCTCAATTTTACAGGGATCACTCATTTTACTGCAGAGTGGTAGGTGATGCGGATCACCATTTGCTGTTATTTGTTTTCTAAATTAAATTATAAAACTGAGCAGTTTAATTGCATGTATCAAACTGCTGGTGTTAAGGGTTGTATCACAGAAAAGGCTGACAGATTTATAACTAATGACAGTGAAGCACAACAATAGGATCAACAGAAGTGAATTAACAGACGTTGATTTCTATTTGAAAGAGAAAATTACACTGTAATTTAGGGTACTTCAAAATGGCACTTTAAATGTAGAGAATTCTTTGGTCTTGACTGTACTGTAGCTATTTCTTTTGAGAGAGATAAAGGAAAAAAATCTTCTACATGGCTGATGTCTATTTTAATGAGGATTGCATCATTTTCTTGTTCAAGCTCTTAAGCTCCTGTGTATCTTTTCAGTTCAAAGACAGCTCAGTAATCAAGTGCTACATAACAATTTCCCACAAACAAGCTTTGATAATCAGAATTTTTCATGAATCCAGGAGGTGGAGAGGCAAGCCCTCTCTTCAAATGAATGCAATCGAGTGGCATGTCAACTGCAATGTCATGCACCTGCTTACTGGATTGTACGCATACAATAGATACCCTCCAACTAAGTTCCAGATTGTGCTGCTCATGCTGTTCCGTAAAACTGGATAAAGAGGGTCAGGAAATTGAGGTAGTAAAGCAGACGCTCTGTTTATCAGACTGGCAAAATTAGCAGAGAATATAAAGATATGTTTAAAAGTATATGGACTCTCTATGCAAAGCATTGTGTCCGCAACTTCTAAAAGGCATGTACAATACACACAGTATTTTGTGCAGACACAATCTGCTGTAGATGGGGATTTTTACTGTTGAAAGAAAGTTTGGATTTGTGCTTACTTACCTATATGAATAGTATTGTAAACTGTGTGTAATCCTTATAGAACAAATTTTCTTAGTTGTATTTACAGAAGATGCTGGGATATGATCTGAAACACAGAGTATGATTTTTTTTTAATCAATTGCAGCATTTAGAAAAACACAGTGTCTTCTTGTATGCAATGTCACTCTGACTTTGAAAATCACCAAATGAAACAGAATAGTTTTGCCATCTGGAAATGAGACTTCCCATCAAAATCTACTTTACCTTGATTAAGGTATTCACCATTGTACTTGAGCACCTGTTATGGTTCTGTCCATGAAGGAAAAAAATCCAAGAATAGCACTTTCACAAAAAAGATTTATCATCATAAATTAGATCACTAATCTTGGTAATCCAGTATCCTGCCCCTATTAATGGCCAGGGCTTCAGAATATAGCTTCTGATCTGTACCTGCTTAGACAGTGAGTGTTATTTGTCAGCTTCATGATGATTTGTCACAGGCCTTTAAGAACAATCTTGTCCTATTTATGCTCAGATGCCAAAGTTATTTTGTCTGTTCTTTCAGAAGTTTATAGTCTTCAATTATTTATTCCCTTTCCATGTCAATCCAAAGGAGAAGCTGCTCATTGTTATGCAACAAATTAAACAAGAAATAGTATCTTGTTATCTGGTTATATCAAATATGTGTTATTACACAATTTGAATGATAGCTGTGCATTAAATCCACTAAAGGCAAGGCAAATGTTTGCTACAGTGTTGATTGAAGATTACAGCAGATGACTCCTGTAAGGAGTGTTTTGTGTTAATTGCAGTCATGGAACTACCAGCCTCAAGTAGGACAGAAAGTTAGACAGACCTGAGTGACAAAAAGAAATATGCCAAATAAGGCAAAAAGAAACTTTCTGCAAAGGCAAGGGAGAGAATGCTGTAAATGTCTCCCTTCTTCAGAATAAAATCCAAACTTGCATAACATTCCATTTATTACAATAAAATTTCTACCACATCTTTCATTTTGGAAGAATTCAATGCATTTTGCAACTATCTAAAGATGATACGCAGTGCTATTGGCAGGATAAAGTTTTAGCGGTAGAATTTTTAAATGTCTTGCATTATACAGATGGTAAAGAAAGGGATATATCATACAGGCCATTCTACTGGAAATGCTGAAGAAAAATGCACCAACTCCAGTATCTTCAACTTTTTACATGACATGAAATAAAAAAGCCTGTATAATGAACTACTCCAGTGGTATGCTACCCTCATAAACAAAGGTGTGAACTGAGGCCTCACCTGGTTTGAGTTTGGGCTTATTTGGTTTTTTTTTTCCTTTGTTAAGTAATTTTATACATAAATGCACACATATCTGTACGTAGGAGCACTTCCATTCTATTTAACTTTAACAACAGTTAAATATAGACTCATTTGCTTTTTATGGTTCCTCCCATTATTATCAAACCACAACCAAAAGCAAGCACACTTCATAATGCAGAATGAGGATTTTCCTGGAGAGGTGGTCTTGCAACCTATGAATAACTTTTAAATAATTCAGCAAGATATAATGAAACAGCCTGGAGCAAGCTCCAAATAAGGTCCTCAGCTGCATGGCAACCTAATGAGAAAAATATACGGAAAGCAGTCTTAGCCTAGTAATTGTGGCATCAGGGTCTGACTGTCGTGGAATTTCAGGAAGGACTCTATTGGCCTGTGTAATGAATACGTATTCCTTGCTGCGTTCCAATCTGCAAGGATTAAGGAATACTTAAATCTTGAGAGACTTTTCCTATTACAAACTCTATAATAATCTTAAGCAATATCTTGTTACATACAAATTATTACTTACACAATCAATATGAAACAATTGGTTCTGAAGAAGACACTGTCAGTAGCCAAAACCAGACTTGCTTCTTTCCTCTTGCCTTCAACAACTAGTGAAGACTTCTGCTGGTTTTTGGATAAAATGATCCTGAGATTTCAGAAGGGTCAGCTGAGAAAATGTCTCTGTTTCGTAAAGAACAACAAAAGAGATGGTTTTGCTTGAGTCTGTATCTTTTATATTTTCTCCCAAAGAAAAGAGAGTTCAGCCATTCATTATAGGCCACCTGGAGTATCCGAGATACCCAGTACCCTAAACAAAAGTCATGGAGGCATGCCACAATATCTGCAGCTGCTGTTTTCTTAAAAAAAAAAAAAAAAAAAAGGTAGTATATAATTCTATCTGATTGATTACAGCCTACACTATGGCACCAGCAACCTGCCCTTCTTTCTGCTGTAGTTTGTTGACTACCTCTTACAAAGCAATATGACCCTAAAGAGTTGATGTAACCCAACACAAATAGAAAAGTTTTGCAGGATAACCACACTGTGATGCCAAAGAAGATGCTGCATCAGTCACTGGAAATGGTGGAGAAAGGGTCTTGAGTCTTTTTGCCTGTAAGGCATGGGCAGGGTAGAGAACACTTGAGGGCTCTCTGGTGAGAAGATGAGGAGTGCGCAGGGCTACTCAGTGAGGGAGCGCAGTCTTTCTTGTGTCATATAAATTGTAGTGCACACAGCACCACGTAGTGCTAACTGCTGCTCGTATTTCACTAAACCATGGGCAAAGACAGGATGCTCAGAGGAAAGGATTTTTCTTTCTTTGACCTTTTGAAACACACAGTTTCTGTTAGTCTCTGAAAGGTCAACCAGACTTGCATAATCTTTCTAATTTTCCTGTTTCCCGTTTGAACCCAAAAATAACTGCAGTGATTCTGTCTTTTAGTGAAATATAGCCAAAGTTCCCAAAGGATAGCCCACATGCCATTTGCAGCCTGCAAAGCCTTGATAACCCATAATGGCATTTTGTAATTGTAGTGTGGCATGGAACAGAGGTGCTGTATTCCAGGTGAAGTCCTTCACACAGTCACTAGCTTTATTGCTATTCGTTCTATTGCATTCTAAGAAGGAACAGCCTCCTATGAAAAACTTTCAGGATCACTAAAGTAAAAACATACTGTTGAAGGAGCATTACATACAGTTGTAGCAATCGGTCAGCTTCTGGTCAGTTCATAAATCTTAAACGCAAAGTATGCATGTAATATACTGGAAATTCTTTCAGATTCCTTTGGTCTTGTGTATTACCAAGTTTCTCCATTTCATGCCTTGAAGCTCTGTATTAGCATTAGTACTGCTGTTAGATAGCTAATGCTCGTTTCAAAGTTTCCAGTTTAGATAAAAAAAAAAAAAAAAAAAAAAAAAAAAAGAGTTAAGACACCAAAACTGAAATATACTCAGCTTCTATCCTTCACCTCCACAATTATACTCTTTGTATGGAGTACAACCACCACCACTCTCCTTACACTGTTTCTCATGAAGGTAGACACTTGAACAGGATGGACTGTGTTTTTTCAAGATGAAGTGGAGGTACAGCTGGATTTGCTGCAGAGCCCTCCAATGGAGAAGATAAACAAAGGATTCACTCCCAGTTTTCACTGATGGAAGTTTGAAGTGGAGCCTTACCCCGTTTTTGCACACATCAAATAAGCTAGACAGGTAGTACTGCAGCTGGCTTGGTGGCCAGTAATTTTCATGTGTCAGATCCCTTTATATAGCCCTGTCAGTTCATCTAAATCATAATTTGTATTGCTACCTGCTGTGCAAATTACATACTTTTAGGCACTTGTATTAGCATTCTTCAGTCCCAACCTGAAGTATCCTACTGTTCCTGTTGCAAAGCTCTTAGACAGAAAGGTGCCATACAGTGTGGTGTTCACTGAATGAGATTGCAGTTCTTGACTTGAATAGAGCAGTGTGGAGTCTTAAGAAGGAAAAGATCTTATATTACCCTAGAGCTATATCTCTTTCTTAAAACACACGTGTATATGCATCTGTATGTGTGCACACACTTACTTACATTACAACTCGTAATAGTTCCATGCCACTAATCTGCTTGCCTGTTCTTTTCTGTAGCCCAGATGATTTACTGAATGCACTGAATGAGGGTATCAGCCGTGCTGATGTGATCATTACATCAGGAGGTGTATCTATGGGGGAAAAGGTATGCTAAATTTAAGTATGACTTGCTACAATATACGTAAGAATTTCAAACCAGAGTCTGTCATCAGAGCTTCTACCTTTGTATTAACGTTTATTAAAAAGGATCTTACTTTTTTTGGAACACTTAAATCTGAATTAATTAAGAAAATAGTTTTCAATGCTATCCTCATTCCCTTTGTTCTTATTACTGTACGATAGTAGACACAGCAGTACAACAGGGAAGATTTTAATTCTTGATGTGAGTGATTTGCAAATGTGTTTTTATTTAAGGAATGATTTATGTAGTTATGATGAGGAAGGTGCTTGGTTAATAGCACACGAAGGCAACAGACTTTTTATTCTTAGAGCAGGTAAAATGTAGATAGAATAAAGCTACTTTGAAAGTACTTCGAAAAGCAACTTGAGTATATAAATAGCTCTTTCTTACTCAGCAGATCTGTTTCCTGAATATGCCAAAGCTATAACTGTTACAAAAATAGTTTTATCACATTTTGCGCCTGATAGTCCTACAGAGGCAATACATACGAGACACAGTGAGCTGATATATTTGCCTTTTGAATCATTAACAGAATTGTTGATTGAGTTCCTGTTGGTAATCCCTGTGCCAAAACCATCAAAGAAAATAGGGATACACAGATGCTGGTGGGGCGTAGATGAACCTGCAGGACATTTATTAATCATGACTTATGCGAAGGAAAACTCAGATTACTTTTTGATCCCAGGCTGAATCTGTGAGTTTGGCAGGTAAAATAAACATCTCTCCTTTTATAACTAACAGATGCTAAAGACAGTCATTAGGAGATGGCAAACATGAGTGCTGTTTTTATCACTTTTCTGAGTAGAAATCATATTGTTGGATACATCATGAAAATGGATAACTAGTTAAACCAGTACCAATTACTTCCAATCCCATTATTGTCCTCAGTATTCCTAGAAAAATAATCAAGGACAAGTGCTGGTCTTTAAATTGGGAACGTGGCGACATAGTGCAGGCACAAGAACACTAGGATGCAACTGGACTGCTGAAGGGTCTTACAAGCATTTCTGCCTTCTGGCTAATTTCTCCCCAGACTGAATGTGAAGCAACAGCATGAAGTCAATAGGATCTATGTTCCACTGATGGATATCCCTCTGATACTGAGCTTTCGACAGTTTTAGTGAAATAACTGTGAACATCCAAAAAGCAAATAGAAAGTAAAAATGGCGTTAATGCAATCAATAATTGAGAATTCATGCCTGGCTGAAAAAAGTTGCTGCTTTCCAAGTATTTGAACACACACGCACACACACAAAAAAAAAAAAAAAAAGAAAAAGAGAGAGAAAGATGGGAAAACTGCAAGGGAGCTTCAGATTTACTGCTTCCAAAGTCTCATTTCACAGATGACTGTTATGTCCTGTATCTTTAATCTTACTAAACACAACAGACAGGATACTACATCTTTGAGCACAGCAATTTTCAATAAAGACGAAACAAGTAATTCGATTTAATAACTGGATCAATTGTGTTTACGCAAAATCATTTAACTTGAACCTAACACAGAAGCCACCCACAGTTTTTCCTTTCTAAGGACTATTAAAGTTGACCACTGTGAATTAGACCATGTCCCCAAGAAATTACAATAATTACAGTATCCTGGAAAACTATGATTTCTACAGTACACTATTGATTTCAAAAGTACTAGGAGATCTATAAATCTGCTGTTAGATAGCTTCCATGGCAAAAAATAAATAACTTGATGATTTTAAGTCTTAACTTTGAACCATAAAGGCTTCTTTTTCCATCTTTGACATAGAGAATGTTTTAGTAGTAGGCATTTGTGGTGTCCTCTAAGATTCTGATGCTGCAGCTGACTTTTAAGTAAATATGTTACTATGTCCTCGTGGAGTCAGGTTTGGCACCTAAAATGAGTCTGTTCTTCAGCTCTTTTTTTTTCAAAATACTTTCTTTCAAATACTGGAAATGCCCCACTGGACTGTAGCGCTTTCAGGATATGAAAAGTCTTTCATCTTCACTTGATATTAATTAATTGCTTTGAATGCTTAGACAATGTAAGCCACTTTGATGTTACTTAATCGATTTTCTTTTTTAAATTTAAACAGGACTATCTTAAACAGGTGCTGGATATTGATCTTCACGCACAGATTCACTTTGGCAGAGTTTTTATGAAACCAGGGTAAGAAATCTTTCTACTTAGGGAGCATAGATGGAGGCTATATTGGGCCAAATATTCTATGTAAGTGCTTCAGTAGATTTCAGTTTTCCAAATACACTATAAACCACATGGTAGATATATATGGGAAAAGAAGCAAAATCAGTCCTATTCAGATTAGTCACCATCTTTATGGGTGAAATTAACTAGAACAGAGGGATTATGTTTTACCGGTAAGAGGTATTTCTCTAATAACTATTGCAAATCAGGTTTGGGGACTGGGGGGAAACTGGCATGGTATAAACATGGCCACAGTCTTCACTGTGATCACAGTGCTCAGATATTGACATTGTTATGAAATAACCAGGAAATACAAGGACATTTAAATGCTGGTTTGCTTAATGAGCATCTCATTTCACTTCAAAATTTGCATAAGTCATATTCCTACAAACAAGCAATTTCTTGAGAGAAGTGTGATGACAGCTAATTTCCAAAGTTTTATCTGATTGGCATATTGAGCATAGTAATTTTAAAGTAAACGCAATCTTTTATGTGTTTGGTTTGCCTCAGAAAACTGTTTCAGCATTGCTTTCCTTTGTAGAACTGCTAATTAAAGAGCCAGGAAGTGTGTTTCATGGAGAAAATGAAAACTACTGTACTGAAAATAGAGAGTTCCCTTTCACAGTACAATAGCGGAAAGACGTCTACAGCTCTGCCTCGCTAACCGTGGAGTGCAGTTTGTTTGCAAGCTAGTTTGGCAGTCCAGTAACACATGCAGCTTTGAGGAATGATTCCCTCTAGCCCATAACTTTTGCCAGGGAGCAGAACAGAAAGTGGGTGTTTGCTGTGAAAACAGACAAGTACTTTTACTGTCTCTGCATACAATCCAGTAAAGAACTGCATGTGGGTTCGGTACTTGTGCCGCTACTAGCACCGTCTCCCTTCCATAAAAGGAACAAGTGAGCTGAAAGCACATTTCTTCCTGTGCTGGATGTAGCCCAGGCATGGAAATAGCTCACTGCTTCTGTCATGCTGCTACAACCCACGTGGAGAAGTCCCAAAAGTGGGATCTGCACTCCAGCCTCTGCGGCTGACAAGAATGAATAACCTGATTTCGAGAATTCAGAATACTGAATTCTGGTTCCAGCTTATCTGAAAGCGAACATAATTCTTTCTTCTGGTGATCCCTCTGTAGACTTGTAGCAATAAAATTTTAATAACTAGCCAGAAAAGCTTTAAGAAATCTTATTTTCCCCAAACGTCCATTTTCATTTTATGCCGTAAGGAAGATATTTCTTACTGCTACCAAAACATTTGGTCATCTAATCTTGCTGAGAATATAAGCACTCTCATTTTCATTGGCTGTAGTGCAATAGCAAATATTGTGTCTTAGTTTTTATTAATTTTATTTTAAAAGGCCTTAGATATGAATTGTGATTACTATATTGGGAAAAATTCCCATGAGTAAGTTCCAAGAGTGAAGCCAGAATTTGCTTTGTACACTTGTATTTTGATGTGCTGTGTGACTGCAAAATGATGCCTGGGATTTAACATTCCTCCACTTGATCTGAAAGTTGCTGAGCTAATGCAAGGTTGTATCTTGTCTAGCAGCGCAGGAGAAAGTACTGGAAGACTTTACCAATGACGGTGTTGAAATCTGAGAACTCAGAGTTTCCAGTAAATATGTATTAGCAATTAGATCTTTTGTACCTCAGTTTGTGCACTGGTTATAAGATTTGGAGGTCTCGCAGATAGTTCCCGTTATGTTAGAGGAATTTTAAAACAGAAACTGCCAACACCAACTTTCCCTGGTAAAACAGAATATTGATTAGTCCTAGCAGATACAAAGCTAGGTAGTAGTGGTCAAAATGTGTCAAATCTCCAAAGTTGCTGCTGGTCATCAACTATCATCTGCTGGCCAGGTGCTAGTTGTTAGCTCAGTATGAAGCCAAGGAACTCAGCCTAATTATTGCTCCTACAAAGTAGCATTTCTAATGTCAAAAAGGATGATATTAACATAGGTATATAGAAAACCTTTTTTAATGGATGAGTCCCTTTTCTTTGCCAGCCGCATTCTTGAGCCATTACATTACTGTCCTATTTGTATAACTGTAATAGCCCTGATGACAAGTCTCTAAAGATAATTCAGGAGCAGATCTGAAAGGAGAGCGAGCTCTTTACTGATAGACTGAGGTCTTACCTGACTGCAGCTCTCTGCCTGTGTATCTGAATTTGTTCATCTGCAGACGAGCTAGCATCTGCTGCTCTGAAATACTGCTGTGTTGTCACTACCAAGGTAGACAAAGGGAAATTAGAGTCACTAATGTTACAAAGAATTTGGAGAGCCTTAGATGAAAAACAAATGCAGCTCTGTAAGTGCATAATTTCAGTATTACTTCTTTGTTATTTGGCTCCTAGCATGAAGACAGGATTTAGATTTTTGATTGCTAGTTCATCTGCTCTTAGATGTTTCCTCACCAGAAGCAAAATCGTCTACTTAAAACTTCATAGCTGAATACCAAGAAAAACTAATTGTTCTGTCATCACAAAGAGAGGATTATACCCCCAGTGTGGGATAAGCAGCAGGTGCTAATGAACTGCTGAGAAAGAGAGAGATCCTGTTTTGTTTTCTTTTCCAAATGTGTTCAATAATAACATAATAATGTTCAGTCAAAGTCTAGTGCAGATATTAAATAGCTTTCATTTTCCGTAGCCTGCCAACAACTTTTGCAACTCTGGATATTGATGGCGTAAGAAAAATAATCTTTGCGCTCCCAGGTAAGATGTTTTGTGGATTACTTTTGTTGCTGTGCATAGATGACAGACATGAAACAGAATAATGACATTTCACAGCACCTAAGTCTGGGGTTGGCATCCCTAAGGAAGGTACCTGTAAAGTTTTCCCAGAAATTTCCAGAAGAGACAGACTTATAGGGATATACTAAGGAGTTCTTTCTTGTTCCTGTCCTCAGAATTCAACAGTGTACAGACCTTACGATTTCTTCTATCCAGCGATTTCCTTGGGGTTTGTATATGGTACTATACAGGGGTGGTTTTTTTCCTACAGCTCCTTCTGCTTTCACAGTAAATATTCTGTGCACGTAAGTCAGTGCATCCACTCTGAAGTATTGAAAATGGAGACAAAAACGAGAGAGTGCCAAGGAACGTGTCACAGATTTTTTTTATTATTTTTTTTTATCATGATCGTGCCATGGAACCAAAAGAGGGCAGCATTGCTTCACCTCCTGCGGGCTGTGTCGCCTTGGAAATAAACATTTCCGTAGGGATCTGGCTACAAATCTCTATCCTAATAAATCAGGAGGAATTTTTTCTATTCTTACTGCTCTGGCTTTGCATGGATTTCTGACTATACAAGGAATCCTGTTCTTGATAAGCTGATGGTTTCAGATGTATCTCTTGGGCTTTTTTCCTCTCTTGTTCTAGTTGATGTAGCACATTTTCTTCCAGGGGAGAGATCAATGGAGCATCTGTCTGATCGTAATATTTATTTTAGAACTGTCATCTAGAGAAGTCTAGATGTGTAACACAAGTGCTGTTTGACAGATGTTGGTCATACACCTCATTTATGGGTCAACAGAAAATGTATAAATCAGTAGAATTCTCAGAATTTGTACTAAAGTGTTTTGCCACTCTGTTAGGGAATTGAAAGTTATTTTTCCATAGGTCTTGGAAACCTTAATCATGAATCAAGAGCCCTATCAGCTAGGACCTATACCTGTGCACAATAAACCCTGCCCCGGCCCCAGACAAATCTAGGCATAAGACAAAAGGCAACGGAGGAACAGAGGCAAATGGTGGGGCCTGAGGAACATGGGGCAGTTCTGGTCAGAGCAGGATTGCAGTACACCACCAGCCAGAGGTGGTAGCTTTCAACAGGTATACTTGCCACATGCCACTCCAGTCTTGAATAAAACGTTTCCTGTACATAGCATGAAAAGCTCTTTAGAGTCCTTCAGAGTGCAATTGCTACAAAAACATGAGATCACTTTCAGCATTCCACAGAGTAAATCAAGAGGGATTCACCACCAACTGTTGTTTGTCCTACAGGCAACCCTGTGTCAGCTGTTGTCACCTGCAATCTCTTTGTTGTTCCCGCACTGAGGAAAATGCAGGGTATCTTGGATCCTCGACCCACCATCATCAAAGCCAGGGTAAGAACCTTGTCCTCTGTTTAAAAATTCTCTCAAGATGTTGCAGCACAGCTCTTTGGGCTCCGAAAGGCTTTCTTGCGTGGGGAATATAAGCCCTAGACTAATTCTGGCAAGTTGAAGGAAGTTCACACAAAACAGAGGTACATTCTTGATCTCTGTTAATGGTAATATTCAGCCCCATAATTTCTAAAAGTTAGATGGCCATCTAACGGAGCGAGATTATACAGCTGCAGAGGCAGCTCTTTGCCAATCAGGCAGGAAGGATGCTTTCCTGTTTAAAAAAAAAAAACCATGTGTTTTTAACCTGTGGTAAAAAATGCAAAGTAATCTGGGAATACCTAAAGAGTTGGGTAGTTCTGTATTAGCAATAGAAAATACAAACTTTAAAGCCTTTCTGTTCATGAGTTATTTATATAAGTAACCCACATGACCCCCACTTTAAGCAATGTAAATCCCTTGAACTATTAATTTCACTCTTACAAGAAATCATGGATGTTGTAACTCTGTTTAATATTGATTCAAGTCATGTTATTATAAGGTATTATTCTTCTATTTTTGATTCAAATAAAGTACCAAGGTACACATTACCTTTTAGAGTTTTCCTAGTGTTCTTGGCTATGCACTTTTCTCTTACTGCTTATCCCATGTCTCTCTTTCACATTTCCTCAGGCATCTACATTTTTCTTTATGTCACAACTAACATATTCTAAAACAGAGAGCAATTTGACCCTCACTTTTGCATGAATTTTCCAATGTGCTCCATTAAATTTCATTGTGAGCCATCCCCTGTATGTCTCTTCATTTCAAAGATTGGCCATTTCCCTTTTGTCAGAGCTAGCAGAATTTTGAATGTGAATAAAATTTTTATCTTTATGCAGTGTAGTCCAGAGACCAGAAGTGATAAAGCTTTTTTCCAGAGAAGTACTATCTTTAAACTTCCAGGAAAAGAACAGCTTTGAAATATTCTACTTAATGCATGTAGACTCCATCATACACTTTGATATTATAATCACAGCTGTATTTCCCTTAAATACAGCCGTTTCTACCTTCTACAGCTTTTGATCTTGCGGTAGACACCATCTGACCTCAAAATGCAGGTTTTTAAAGAGACTTTTTTTAAGGAAAAGCAACTGAGCAGATGATTCCGTTATCTTAGACAGTGCAATCTGAATGCATGACATTCTTATCCTTTCTTTGCTTCTTCTACAGTTATCATGTGATGTAAAATTGGACCCCCGCCCAGAATATCATCGGTGCATACTGACTTGGCATCACCAAGAACCACTACCTTGGGCACAGAGTACAGGTTAGTGCCCAGTCACACAGACTGACGGACACACTCACACAGGTCCTTGCCTTCCTGCATATATGTCTAAAAACAGCCAAGCACATGCGCATGTTTTTCATATAACCTTCCTCATGCAGACTGATTTGCTGACATACTTGTGGACACGCATACATGTACGTTAGTATAAAATTCAGTCATGATATGACTTACCAACTTCACCATTAAAACTTCCTTTATCTGAATAACCTGCCTTTATACACACACACACACACAAAATACACTTGTACGCTTGCATATGTGCGCGCATTCCTTTTTATAAACATCCAGCCACGCTTACTTGCGCTCACAGACACATTTGCTTACTTTTGCTTTTCTGCATGTACTAAACAGACACAAATTGGGCCATAGGTAGGAACAATAGAAAGAAAAGTAGTGTGATTCTAGCTGAACTGGAAAGGTAGAAGAGAGAGAAGAGGCTGTATACGTTCTCTTAAAGCAGACTAAGACTTTCATTAGTCATGTTTGCCATCTAGGGATGCTTCAGAATACTCAGCTGTAGTTGAGGTAAATACTATATTTGAATACTTTTTTAGCTGTAGACTGCTAGGAGACCAACTCTGCCAGTTTCTCAAGAGATTCAGGTCCTTAAGTAACTAATTGTCTTTTTGCTACATCCAAATTGTTCAATACAAAGCACTATATACAGGTTTCCACAGGGAAAACATTAGCTCAAATGCATGTTACTGTTTACCTAGAGAAAGTTCTTACCATTGACTCCCAATATCACACAGTCTCTGTCATATTTCCAGGTATAAGTCAAGGTATTACTTATGTCTGTAACTCTGTATTTGGTTTAACTCTGTTTTGTTGTGCACCAGTTCTTTCCTTATGCAAGCAGACTGTCTGGAATGATTTCTCTGTCAATCTGGAAGTTTAAAAACCAAGAAACTAAAGGACATGGCTCTTTATTGCATTTTCATTTTTTGTCAGTACTACCAATGTGATACTGTTTATCTTCAGGACGTGTTGTGAAGCTCAGTGTCCCAAAGAAACCCATTCTTTTGAGGTGGTATATGTTATGGATTTATGCAGGCGGCCACCGTAACAGGGTCCGACCCTAGGATCCAAATGAAAAGTGTAAAGTCCAAGTGAAGGTTTCTGATTCCTCTTTTATTAGCTCTCAGGCTACAGCTTGAGCTGGGTGCCTCTGGAGAGGGGGACCTACCCCAGATTGTGCCCTCCAATTATACCCGTACCACCCAGCACCCGATCCCCAAGTCCAATCACTCAATTCTGGTTGGTGGTCTCTTGATTTCTTATTGGTTTTCTTTGTCCCTGGGCTGGCCTTCTTCTGAAGTTACCTCATTCTCTCAGAATTGTTCCCTTGGTCCTTTATTCTGCTCACATCTGCCGGATTCAGCTAGGTCTACGTTAGCAGCATTAGTTTTATCAAAAAGTTTACCATCTATCAGCTCTTGCAGCCTTTGGCTTCAACTACTTTAGCTACTAGTGCTAAGCTACTAATGCTAAGCAAGACTATTCAGAGAGAAGAATACAGTTAATCAAACTTACTCTATAGCAGTGTATTAAAAACTTTCTAGACTGTGCTGGTTTTAGTCTTTGTGCAATCAGAATTAAGTGTTAAATTGAAAAATAAAGTAATTTTGATAGGATTCTAACTGAAAAGCAATTTACTATGACAAGATATGAGGTGCTGGTAATGTAGAAGGCTGGATAGGAAAGCAGTCAGCAAAGGGAATGATAGTTTTGAGCGCCAGAGCGATGAGAGGCTAACTAATTCTCTACAAAGTTCTCTTGTTTCCAGCCACCTTGGAAGAGCGAGATCCCAGCTCTATGAATAAGTTAGCAACATGAACATCTTCATAAGAACAGCTCGCGTTTCCCGTGTGGTTGGTGTGTTGCAGCATTTGAAACTAACTGAAAACTTAACCGAAATTTTTCTCTCGCTCTCCTGTAGGGAATCAGATGAGCAGTCGTCTGATGAGTATGCGCAGTGCCAATGGACTGTTGATGCTACCTCCAAAGACAGAGCAGTATGTGGAGCTTCACAAGGGGGAGGTGGTGGATGTCATGGTCATTGGAAGGCTATGATGTCACCAGCAAGAGCGAAGCTTTGATGCATGTCCACATATCATTGACTGTATCCTGTAATATGCAACGGCACAGCTAGTTTTTCTGATTTGGATAAAAGTTGATCAGTATAGTCAACATCTTGAATTATATTTCAAATGGAATTTAAATAAATACCTTTTAAAAAAAAAACTTTAAAACAAATCTTAACAAAGAAATTTATTCTGATTATATCAAAGCAACTTTTTCCTTTCCTCGCAATTGCTTTGTGTGTTCAATGCTAGTTCTAATAGCGGTAGCTTTTAGTAGACAGCAGTAGGTGCCTGCAAAACTTGTGTTTTTTCTCATCTTTAAGATACAACTACTTATGCTCTTAAAACAAGGCTGTCTGCTTATTTATACTAGCGTAGACAACACTTGGATTTCCCTTATTAGTATGCTTCATAACCGCTTCACAGAGAGCTTCTGCTTGTTCTTTATCTTGTATCTCGTGTTGATGTGCACAGTGCCAAAAGCGGAGTGGCTGCACTGGGAACCCAATGAAGCCCCGAGGTTTCCTCACCTCGCTGCGCATTCAGGGATCTCTCTTGTCCCGGCAGCCACCCAGCTCAGTACTCTTGGGCAGTAACTGGATACCTTTTATTTCAACGAACAAAAAAATTGCTTCCTTAAGTGCTGACAGCCTTTTTAACCAATACATTTAAAAATGTACAGAACTAAAAACTAAAAAAAATCAAAGACTGATCTTGTACAGATATTAGTGTTACCAGCATTCGTGTGGAAATTAAATGAGCAAAGAAATAAAACTAATGTTAAACAACTCTGTACCATAACATTTTCTGTAATGATACTGAAACTTAAATGAATAAAAAAAATCCTCAATCATTATTTAAAATTTCACCTGTTTAGCCTTGTTGTTTGAACCAAGAAAAATAGTGGTTTAAGAAGGTATTTGGGGTGGGGGAAAAGGACATGAAGGAAGGGAAAATAGTGTATGGAATCTAGGGCCTTCCTTCATGTACAGTACCACGAGTGAACGGAAAATACAGAGTGAGCTCTCTCTCACTTATCGCCCAAGGGACAAAATGGAAGCAGCATTTGGGGGGTATTACAACTGGACTAGTCAAAGCTGGAGAATACTTTTTTTTTTCCATCTAAATTGCATAGCAGTTGCAAACAGCCCTTGTGCTGCACTGTGTGGAATTTCATAGAGCATTCATTATTTTTTTTCATGAGATTCTGGTTTTGATACTGGGACTATTCAGCCTTTGCCAGATTATGTATTTTGGTAATTTCACATTTCATCTGGGATTAAGAACCATAGCAGTGCCCTACAACACTATCAACTATCCCATCAGCTCCATTCACGAAGCCAGAACATTTGTCTATAGTATTTTTTGAAGACTTAGTCAGGGAGGACACAGAAAACTGGGTTTGAGTCCTGGCTGCCACAGTGGACCAGAGCCGTAGTTCTATGATAACCACAGAAGGCATCGCTGAGGCTGGTTTTAAAACCAAACTCTGCTGGCTGTGCAACAGCCTGAAGACTCCCTGCACAATCCATTGCAAAGGTGGAAGGCAGGTGGGCATACACCGTGTTCGAAGGCATTCCAGGGGCTGATCTTTCAGAAAAATAGTAAGACAACTTGCCAATCATACTTCTTTGTTCTGGACTACACGTCCAGATTTGTGATCTCGTTGTGTAGCAGCAGGATGGTACCAACTTAAATTTGTGAATGCCTGTATTTACTGTTCCAATATTTTAAACCACAGAAGAAGGAAGAGAGAGGAGAGTTAACTCATCTCTGAGAAATAATGTAGAACACTGCCTTTTATAATCCAAAGGATTATTATGTAGTTAGGAGTTATTACAAGCAGCGCATGTAAGGAAAATTGGAAATTTATAAAGGACACCAGTAACAACAACCTCAGGGAAGATTGTTCATGCAATTTGAGATGCTAGACAAAGATAAGAGAGAGACATGAGGAAACCTAGCCAGAAATATCTTGGGTCTGGTTTACATTAAAACCATTACTCAAAACAAATGTGGCAGAGAAGAGTTGGCACAATGCTGTCTATAATGCACGGCTCTGTTTAAACCATATCTCGGCATCGTAAGACTTAACTACCATTGTAACGAATGAAGCATTTAGAGGTTAATCAAGATAATTTTTTTCCAAATCACCAATAATATAAATTGCTTTAGCTACTCTACTGTCTTTTGTACTCCCCTCTGCCCAGCGTTCAGAGTTTTATGCAAGAAAATAAGCTTTGCATTTTCTGAGACGGATGCTCACAGCCGAGCCTTCATTAACACTGAAAGCCACAGCAGTATGTTGCAGAGGAAACTCTGGGAGCAGTATAATAAATCATTATTACAAGTATGTCTCAATTATCAAGCCTAAAATCTGAAAAAATTGCCTTGGTTGTTGTAATGTAAGTGGATATAAATAGATAAATTCAAATAACTTTTTTTATTTTTAACATTCCCAACTGACGGTTTCAGGGAAGGTTGGAAGCTTCAGGAAAAAAAAGTCAAGGACAAGCGGATCTTCAAGCATGTGGCTACTTTGCTTCAAGGACTGCGACTTGTAAATGGAAACATTTTAAGAAATATTTTCACTATTTTTAATCCTCTAGGTCAGGTTTTAGCACAATCGAAATAGTAACTTATTTAACAACAAGAAGTACTGCAGCAATGACTGAAGATAAGGTTGGTATTCCAACATCTGTAGTTTTCTTCTTTTTACAGCATTTTCTTCAGCACATATACGTGGGGATGATCAGACACAGTGGGTTTTCTGAATCGCATTCATCCAGCTGGGGTAATCCTACAGTGACCTCCAAATCATACAGCAACTTTTGTATCTTGGCTAGCTGGTACCAAAACCTTGATTGTACACCTGGATGTGAAACATCGTTCAAAAATTGACTGTATTCAATCAGATAAACAGAATAATAGACTGTCCTTTTCCAAATACTAATTTCAAGACTTTAATTACAGAAATTACAATGTTAATTCTATCTTGATATTAAAATATGCTAAAAATGAAATGTCTTTGATCTGTAGGTAGTTATTACAGATCTGTGTGACTCCAGAGATTACTAATTAACATGGAACCTTTAGCCTTTTTGATTCTTGAGCTGAAGGGTGGTACTTAAAACATATTACAACATGGCTACTGCTTAAGGACAATATGCAACTGGAATCACCCTGCAGATGCTGTCTTTGTCCTCCCCAGCTTGCCGCTCTGCACCAAGTGCTCAGGGTCTTCTTTGACGCGTCCCAGATCCAGAAGACGTGCTGCTTGCCTCATGCTCGGTAAAGATGGTCTTCAGGCCACAGGCACTCTGCACATACCCTTCACTGACCACAGAAGTGCCCACTATAGTGACTGGTTCCACCTTTTCCTTCCAGTTGCCTTGGTTCCAGGTCTGTCAGTGTTGGGATGGCGCGTGCCAGCCTCGTTGCCTTCCTATGGCAGCAGCGTTCAGGGCCTGCCTCAAGTCACGCTCAGGAAAGCTCTTCAGGCTGATGCCTCTGCCAGCACTTGCAGGCAGGAGCAATGTCTGAGAGTTGAGACCTTAGTGGGACATCTTATTTTGGAAAGCAGGTGCCAGGCTCAGATGGCCCTCTATTATGTTCTAACGCTCAACTTCTCAACAATAGCACCTGCACCTGCACTGGTTGTGAGGTTTTGTGTTAGATAAGAAAAATATACATTAAATCAAAACAAAAGAAACATATCAGAGCTTTGTTTTCTTACGGCACTGAGGTGTTTCCAGGTGCCTGTATTTGCGATTGGCAAAGAGAAGACAAGCAAAGCAAAGCCCAGACAGCAAAAAGCTGTAAATATTGGTTAACACTGAAAACACATCTCTCGGGAAGTGCATAAAGATTCATGAGCAATCAAGTTCAATAGTTGTTTTAAAGGTAGAGTCTCCTTCTTGGATACATTTATTTGATATATTTGGATATATAGCCTTGTACTTCCACTGAGGAGTGAGGTGGGAGACTGTGAGAGCGTCAAATGAGGAGTCAGAGCCCAATTCAGGCTACGTTATCAAGCAGTAGATTGGGCTGACATGTAATGATCCGTATATGCTTCCTCTCACCTGACAGGAAACTAAGAATAAGAAGGAAGAGGGTAGATGCTAAAATGCTCAAGCACAAGATTTTCCAAAAATTGTGTTTTTCCTTGGTTGGCAAATTGAAACTAGTTTTTAATATGGGGAAAAAAAAAGCATAAAAATTGTCTGTCATTTATGTTGATGCTTTCCAAACATTTCTAATAGACTTTTATCCCAAATAAATTCAGGAATATATTTCCAACCTAATATTTCTTTTGTGAGGCTATTTTATGGATTTCCCAAAATGCCAGGTAAGAAACTCTTTGCGTAAATGCTTTATATCTATAGTAGTCTCTTTCCTGAAGCTAAGGTCAGTCGGCATTATTCCCATGAAAAAGCTGCGGTTTAGCACTACAGGTTGTGCAGGGAAGGGCATTTATGCATGTAGTCAAAGAAAGCAGAGACATTTCTAGGCGAGGGGGACAACAAAGTGGTCAAAGTCACAACTATTGATGAAAAAAAAGGATTTGCAGTGGGGAGAACAATTGCAGGGACTGATGATTGTTAAAGCAGCAATCTGTTGAAGAAAGGCAAGGTACAGTTTCCCACAGCAGTATTTGGTCAGTACGATGCAATTAAGTGTCTTAGCCTCATGATGAAGAACATGATCTCTAATAACTGTCACTCCTGAATGGTTTGGCAACCCCTTAGCCTTCCTAAAGCCAGCCAGTCTCAAATGACAAAACGCAGCATTTGCACCTCTTGCACGTGGTACTGTCAGCAGCTGAACTTCTCTGTTTCGCAGAGTGAAAAATTCCACGTCGTTGTTTCTTCTGTGTTTTCTTTTATCGATTTTTTTTGTGTTTTCTAGTAAGTATATCCCAGCCTCCACCCAGAAAGGTGAGTCCCCATGCTGGATTTAAACTCAGCAATGAAATGTAGACACTTCCTGGGTAATTCACAGGGAGGAAAAGCCTGTGGGGTTTGCAAATGTTACAGCCTCATGATGTGCTGCTAGTTGCATGTTTCCTAAAAGGGCTTAGTGACTCATATTCAGCATTAGATTAAGACTTGCTCTGTGCATTCGTGCCGTATTGCACACAAGCTGACAAAGCTCTTGGAATATAAAGCCTTCAAAAGGGCGATGCACAGAAGCTCAGTAGCTCCCTCGTTGTCAGACTGGTCTGGCTGGGATTACTCGCTCCATCCCAGCACCACATAGTGACATCCAGCATGCTCTGTCCCTACGCAAGGACTTCTGCATCTGCGTGGACCCAATTTGGGTTTAAAAATACAGGCAGCCAACTTAATTTTTGCAGAGTTCATTCACAAGCAAAACTGAGACCTGATTGTACACCAGTAACGCCACAGATAATCTGAACATACCAGAGAAAGGAAATGCACTGGCACGATCTTGATAACCAGGGATTCAAAAGTAGTAAAGTAACTTCAAGAAAAGTATAAGAGAAGATGGAAGGTAGGTATATAACCGTGCAAAAACTACCTTAGAAACAACAGCAGGGTAAGATCTCAGAACCCTGATTTACTGCTTTTGTAGGTTTGGAACACTGCCAGATGGAGAGAGCCATATCCAGATGCATTTGCTTCCGTTAAAAAAAAAGAAGTCATAGTGCAATATTGACATGTTACCAGCTACTGGCACACAAAAAAAGCTGTCCCACCAGACTGACAGGAAAGCATGCAAAGCAGCTGTTTGACATTCTCCTCGTGGATTTTACCTTGGCCCAAGGTGGTCTGAAAGGGTGCCAAGCAGAAATCAGACAGATCAGCAAGACAAATGAGAGTTAGCACATCAAGGATGT